AGCCAAGATGTCCATCAACAGATGAATGGATAAAGAAGATGTGGTATATATATACAATGGAATATTATGCAGCCATCAATAAAATGACATCTTGCCATTTGCAATGACGTGGATGGAACTAGAGGGTGTTATGCTAAACAAAATAAGTCAATCAGAGAAAGACAAGTATCATATGATCTCACTGACATGAGGAATTCTTAATCTCAGGAAACAAACTGAGGTTTGCTGGAGTGGTGGGGCGTGGGAGGGATGGGGTGGCTGGGTGATAGACATTGGGGAGGGTATGTGCTATGGCGAGCGCTAATGAAGGGGGGGAAATCAGAGGGGGAGACAAACCATGAGAGACTATGGACTCTGAGAAACAAACTGAGGGTTTTAGAGGGAAGCGGGGGATGGGTTAGCCTGGTGATGGGTATTAAGGAGGGCACGTATTGCGTGGAGCACCGGGTGTTATACACAAACAATGAATCATGGAACACTACATAAAAAAATAATAATAAGTAAATTAAAAAAAAAAGAATCTTCTTCTATTTATTCATCCATCCTCCATAGGATAGAATTCCCAAATCCTTCTTTGGGTGAATTTCCCTCTTCTTGGAGACAGATACTTTAAGTCAATATTTGCCCTTTGGAGTTATGTTATCCAGAACTGAATGTTATGGTTTGAATATGCTCTATCTAGCACAGTGTTCCATAAATGAACTATAGCACAAGTATAATCATCCCCTGGGCAAAATTCATAGCCCCATGATTATTTCATTGAATATTGCCTGACTCATCATCAAAAATTGTTAACCCATGAAGGTTTTTTCTAATACCTTCATGGATGGCCAGCTGCATGAGGACGATGTTCCCCCTCAGTCTCCCAATTGCAGTGGTTACATTTTATAACACTGTATTAGTGATGCTCTGTATTCATATCTTGCCTTTAAGGGATGTCCACCTGAGATAATAAATATATTTGCTATTTTGGGGGAAGTCCTTAGAAATACATGTAGGTGTTCACATGGCACCATCACCTTTGGCTTTCTCCTACAGAAACAGTAAGTGATGGATAAGTTTGCTGGTAAAATAACAGTGGCTCAGCCCGAGTCTCCTTTCCTGCCCAAGGTCTCAGACATTTACACAAATTAGAACTCTCCGTTCATGCGTTCAAACTGATTGGACCATGACTTTCTCAGACCCAGACTACAGAGATCTAACTAGCTGGGCTTGCATTAGACACATCCTCTTTACCCAGCAGGATGGTCCTACAGCAAGGAGGCAGGGGCAAGAATGTCAAAGAGGAAGTGCCCACTTTCTCTCTCCCCCAGCTCATTCACTACCTAATTGTTCCTGTCATCTTGGATACAGTCTGTATTTTGTAAAATGAAATTGGACTAAAGGATTTCTAAGGGCTCTTCCAGCTCTAAATTTCTTTTATACATATAACAAAGCGAATATTTATTGAGGACTGGTTGTGTGCACTGTGCACTGGTGTCAGGGTGGGGAGAAATTGCCTGCATCACGGAACCCCAAGATCATTTTCACAGACACATGTGACTTAGTGGGTCTGAGGTTGATCCTAACCAACACTGAGGTCTCTTCAGAAGTAGAGACAGAGTCTTCAGGGTAAGATCCTCTCTGGGTTTTCTTTTCTTCTATGAGAGCAAAGATGGATCAAGGAAGATCTAAATCTATAGAAAAATGGAATAAAATGGAACTTTATTCATTCACCACAGGCAGTGAGATGGGGTTGGCTCCATGGTTAATGAGCTTACTCATACATATGTAAAACAAAAAATACTTTCTCAAAGGGCCTAATTGCTTTCTAGCTTCTAGCTTCCTCATTCAAGTTTAACTCAGGTGTTCAAAATTCCCAGGCAGAGATGGCTAGCTATATAATTTGTGGTACACAGTGACAAAGGAAAATGTGGGGCCCCATGTTCAAAAAGCAGGAAAAAATGTTACATTATGTAATAAAATATAAAGCTCTCTTAAATTTTTTTTTTTTTTTTTTACTGGGGCACCTGGGTGGCTCAGTCAGTTAAGCATCTGCCTTGGGCTCAGGTCATGATTGCAGAGTCCTGGGATCAAGTCCCATGTCGGGCTCCCTGCTCAGGAGGCAGTCTGCTTCTCCCTCTGCCTCTGCTCCTTCTCTCTCCCTCTTTCTTTTTCTGGCTCACTCTGTCTCTCAAATAAATAAATTGAAGCTTTAAAAATTTTTTTAAAAATAAAAAATCTTTTTACTTATACAACACAATAGAACTTTAATGAAACGTAAGATATAAATTTACAAATTACAAAAAAACTTAGAAAAATTATATAAAAAATTTTGTATAATAAAATAAATAATAATACTTTGGTAGTATAATATCTTTTTTTTTGATGTAGTGTTCCATGATTCATTGTTTGCATATAACACCCAGTGCTCCATTAATATCTTAATAATATTTTTCTGGCTCGCTTTTCTCCAAATTAATTTATTTGGCTATCAAAATTAATACTTTTAGTAATTTCATTTCAATCAGTATAATTGAAAGCAATGGCAGTTGCTGTTGGTAAATACAATGCTGCAAACAGGATTTTTGATCATTTTTAATTTTGAGAAGTATATTTCTGTTGGTGCAACTGATATTACAGATTTTAAAGAATATTTTATATGCTATGACAAAATTAGCATAAATAGCTGATAAATTAGTTGAAATATAAGTAAAGTAAATCTAGAGTTGATGTCTCCAGTGGAACAATTGTTCTATAAATGATTTAACTTCATACCAATCAGTTTCATGTAAATCTGAATTTAATTTTAAATGTAAATTTATACAGCAGCAATTTATTGTTTTCTCTGACATTTTCTGTAAATTTTGGAGGGTGTATATGAAACTAAAAAGCGGCTTCATGACTTGTATATAATTCAGAATACTTTTTTATGCATCTTATTACGTCTTAAGTTACAAGACAAATTAATTTCAGAGTATCTTCTGTGTTAAAATTGGTTCACTGGGTAAGTTCAAACTTCACATGAAAATGGTATTCTTCTCCACTGAAGCTTTTACCTTTACCTTAAATTTCTATTTCTAAGCCTAAGGATATTTGCTTTCCAATGTTGCAGTAATTTTTAAAACCAGAGCTTCTAAACATTTTAAGAACTAATACCCCTCCAATATGCTTTATGCAATGTCAACATACACACTTTTATTTTGTAATAATTTATTGTCCAGGTTTATCGCCACCCGCTTTGGAGCCCAGCAGAGCCCCAGATGGTCTAAGCATGCTGTGCACTGTTGCTCTGCAAGGCCTCCTGGTGGAAGGGCTGGGGTGCAGGCCCACCTGCAGTTTGGGTGCAAGCTGCAGATCACCAGGGAGCACTGTGTCTGCGCCGCACACAGGTAGGTGGCTGAGTCTTCCAGTTGGGAGACCGTGATGTGGAGGGTGCTGGACCGTTCCCTAGTATTCACTGTGCAGTTTAACCTTCCACTCTGCTTCATCCCCGAAGCTATGTAAAACAGTGAGGTGAGGCCACCGCCCCCGGGATTCTGTCGGAACCACTGCACACTGTCCACAGTGCTAGAAAAATTGCACTTCAGAGTAGAGCTGACTCCCTCCTGGAGGCTCAGGGCTGAAGGGCTCTGCTCCACCTCCATCCCTCTCAACCCTGCGTGGAAAGAGAAAAACAAACACAAATGATATCACTGGGGAGTCACCGACCCAGTTTTCAAACCTGCAAAAAATCCCAAGAAACACCCCTGAGGATGTAGGAACCTCTAGGAGCTCAGTGTCAGGTCCCCGCACCACTGTGGGCTATGGACCACTCCTCAGCCCCGGGCTGAAACGCCCCCACTCACAGGAAACCTGGACCCACAGGAACCCCAGCAGAGCTCCCCAGTGTCTCATGATTCCTTGTCTAGTTGCTGAGTGACTGACACCCCTACTGTGCAGAGTGTAGAGTCTTGGATGCAGAGAAATTGTGTCTTACACTCAATCCATTCCACCAGAATCACTGAGCACCAATCACACCTCAGCCCTGTCATTCACGGAACTCGAGACTCCACCCACAGTGGCCCAGTGACACTGCACAGTAATCTCTCCAAAACTGTGCTTGCCAGCAGTGCAGGCAGGTAGGGGTAATATTTCCAATATAGGAAGATATAAGGGTTTTTTTTTTTTTTCTTGAAACACTTTATGTAAGAAATGTGAGGGTTAGTGTGTGAGGAAAGGTGAATGATATTTCTAGAAGAGTCAGTGAGGAAAGGGGGTTACACAAAACTTGGAACCTATGATTCGAAGAGTGATTCCATTCCCCAAATTGCATAGTTTGATAGATAATGTGAGAATTCCGTTATATAAAAATATTGATGGGGCGCCTGGGTGGTTCAGCAGGTGGAGCATCTGCCTTTGGCTCCGGTCATGATCCCGGCGTCCTGGAATGCGGCAGCGTGGGCTCCCTGCTCAGCGGGGAGTCTGCTTCTCCCTCTGCCTCTCCCCTCGCCCGTTCTCTCTCTCTCTCATAAATAAATAAAACATTTAAAATTTAAAAAATAAAAATACCGATAAAGGGAAACTATCGATAGCATGCACTCAGTATTGCAGAAGTAAATACAATTTCTTGAAATCAGGAGAGTTCTAGAAACCAAGACAGACAGTCACCATCTGCATAGAAAATGATTCCAACCAGAATTTGGTTGGTGAAAAATAAGATATCTGCATAATGTCCCCTCTGATTTAATTTCCGCCTCTCCACCTCTCCTGTGCAACTGGTGGACACCCTGCTCACCCGCAGAGCTGAGTCTGTCCAGGCCACACGTTGCTGGTCAAAGTCAATATTGATCTCTCCTTTTCCTTCTCTTTTTATTCCTTTTTTTTTTCTTTTTTCTTTTTTTTTTTTCTTCTCCTCATTCTTGTTCCTTCCATTTTCAACCAAGATATATGAAAAGGTAGGATGTCTGGGGTATTGAGATAATTTCTAGGCCAGTGGGTTTGGGAGATTTTATTCAGAACAATTAAAAAAGTGAAAACAGATAATGGGATGCTTTCTGTTGAGCTTCCTCACAAGTGCCCAGAAATATTCTTATTTCCATACCTCTGCTCAGAGGATCATCCTCACAGTTGATTTATAGAAATACAGGTTCCAACTTTTTGAAATTGATATGGAATGGCAGAACTGAAAACCTAAGATGAACTTTACACAAACAGGGTTGCCCCTTTTCCGCCCACCTTTGCTATCTGTAATTTGATTGGCTCACATGTTTTCTGTTCTCTCCTAACTGTTCAACTCTCTTACCAACAGAAAAAAAAAATCACTTCATTTCTTGTAAAGTTTAGAGTGCCCCCTAGTGGACTAAAACATAAATAAAGGACACTTGAGACCAAGTAACTCAGCAGACACAGACCCTCAGCCCCATATGGTCATTCCGTGCTTCTTTTTTTTTTTTTTAATTATGTTATGTTAGTCACCATACAGTACATCATTAGTTTTTGATGTAGTGTTTCCTGATTCATTATTTGCGCATAATACCCAGTGCTCATTACAACGTGTGCCCTCCTTAATACCCATCACCAGGCTAACCTATCCCTCACTCCCCTCCCCTCTGAAACCCTCAGTTTGTTTCCTGGAGTCCATAGTCTCTCATGATTCGTCTCCCTCTCTGATTTCCCCCCTTCAGTTTTCCCTTCCTTCTTCTAATGTCCTCCATGCTATTCCTTATGTTCCACATATGAGTGAAACCATATGATAATTGTCTTTTTCTGCTTGACTTATTTCACTTAGCATAATCCCCTCCACTTCCATCCATGTTGATGCATATGGTGGGTTTTCATCATTTCTGATGGCTAATAGTCCATTGTGTAAATGAACCACATCTTCTTTAGCCATTCATCTGTTGAAGGGCATCTCGGCTCCTTCCACAGTTTGGCTATTGTGGACATTGGTGCTATGAACTTTGGGGTGCATGTGGCCCTTCTTTTCACTACATCTGTGTCTTTGGGGTAAAAACCCAATAGTGCAATTGCTGGGTCATAGGGTAGCTCTATTTTTATCTTTTTGAGGAACCTCCATACTGTTTTCCAAAGTGGCTGAACCAACTTGCATTCCCACCAACGGCATAAGAGGGTTCCCCTTTCTCCACAACCTCTCCAACATTTCTTATTTCCTGTCTTGTTAATTTCTGCCATTCTAACTGGTGTAAGGTGGTATCTCAGTGTGGTTTTGATTTGAATTTCCCTGATGGCTAATGATCTTTGAACATTTTTTCATGTGTCTATTAGCCATTTGTATGTCTTCTTTGGAGAAATGTCTGTTCATGTCTTCTGCCCATTTTTTCACTGGATTATTTGTTTTTGGGGTGTTGAGTTTGAGAAGGTCTTTATAGATCTTGGATACTAGCCCTTTATCTGAAATGTCATTTGCAAATACCTTCTCCCATTCCGTGGGTTGCCTCTTTGTTTTGTTGACTGTTTCCTTTGCTGTGCAGAAGCTTTTTATCTTGATGAAGTCCCAAAAGTTCATTTTTACTTTTGTTTCCCTTGCCTTTGGAGACGTGTCTTGAAAGAATTTGCTGAGGCCAGTGTCGAAGAGGTTACTGCCTATGTTCTCCTCTAGGATTTTGATGGATTCCTGTCTCACATTGAGGTCTCATCCATTTAAAGTTTATCTTTGTGCATGGTGTAAGAGAATGGTCAAGTTTCATTCTTCTGTATATAGCCGTCCAATTTTCCCAACACCATTTATTGAAGAGACTCTTTTCTCCATTGGATATTTTTTCCTGCTTTGTCGAAGATTAGTTGACCATAGAGTTAAGGGTCCATATCTGGGCCCTCTATTCTGTTCCATTGATCTATGTGTCTGTTTTTGTGCCAATACCATGCTGTCTTGGTGATCAGAGCTTTGTAATATAGCTTGAAATCAGGCAACGTGACACCCCCAGGTTTGTGTTTCTTTTTCAACATTTCCTTGGCAATTCGGGGTCTTAACTGATTACACATAAATTTTAGGATTGTTTGCTCCAGCGCTTTGGAAAATACTGTTGGTATTTTGATCGGGATGGCATTGAAAGTATAGATTGCTCTAGGCAGCATAGACATTTTAACAATGTTTATTCTTCCAATCCATGAGCATGGAATGTTTTTCCATCTTTTTGTGTCTTCTTCAGTTTCTTTCATAAGTGTTCTGTAGTTTCTAGAGTATAGATTCTCTTTGGTTAGGTTTATTCCTAGGTATCTAATGGTTTTTTGTGCTATTGTAAATGGGATCGATTCCCTAATTTCTCTTTCTACATTGTTAGTGTGTAGAAAAGCAATTGATTTCTGTGAACTGATTTTGTATCCTGACACATTACTGAATTGCTATATGAGTTCTAGGAATTTGGGGGCAGAGTCTTTTGGGTTTTCCACATAAAGTATCATGTCATCTACGAAGAGAGAGAATTTGACTTCTTCTTTGCCAATTTGAATACCTTTTATTTCTTTTTGTTGTCTGATTGCTGTTGCTAGGACTTCTAGTACTATGTTGAACAATAGTGGCGAGAGTGGGCATCCTTGTCGTGTTCCTGATCTTAAGGGAAAAGCTCTCAGCTTTTCTCCATTGACGATGATATTCTCTGTAGGCTTTTCATAGACGGTTTTTATGGAATTGAGGAATTTTCCCTACATCCGTACAGTCTGATGAGTTTTAATCAGGAAAGGATGCTGTATTTTGTCAAATGCTTTTTCTGCATCAATTGAGAGGATCATATGGTTCTTGTCTTTTCTTTTATTAATGTGCTGTATCACATCGATTGATTTGCGGATGTTGAACCACCCTTGCATCCCAGGAATCAATCCCACCTGGTCATGATGGATACTCCCTTTAATGTACTGTTGGAGCCTATTGGCTAGGATCTTGTTGAGAATTTTGGCATCCATATTCATCAGGGATATTGGTCTGTAATTCTCCTCTTTGATGGGTCTTAGCCTGGTTTTGGGATCAAGGTAATGCTGGCCTCATAGAACAAGGTTGGAAGTTTTCCTTCTGTTTCTATTTTTTGAAACATCTTCAGGAGAATAGGTATTATTTATTCTTTAAATGTTTGGTAGAATTCTCCTGGAAATCCATCAGGCCCTGTGCTCTTGTTTTTTGAGAGATTTTTGATCACTGCTTCAATTTCATTACTGGTTATTGATCTATTCAGATTGTCAATTTCTTCCTGCTTCAGTCTTGGTAGGGTATAGGTTTCCAGGAAGGCATCCATTTCTTCCAGGTTGCTTAATTTGTTGGCATATAGTTGCTGATAATAATTTCTAATAATTGTTTTTATTTCCTTGGTATTAGTTGTGATGTCTCCCCTTTCATTAATAATTTCACTAATATGGGTCCTTTCTCTTTTCTTTTGGATAACCAGAAAAACAGTAGAGCAGATCAATGAAACTAGAAGCTGGTCCTTTGAAAGAATTAATAAGATCGATAAACCTCTGGCCAGACTTATCCATTCCATACTTCTTGATGAGGTTGATGATCAGAAAACAAAGTAACTGCTTAGATTGAATGGGGATTAAAAGTGAACCAAATCCTACTTTTATAATGGAATTTCATGGAAATCAATATCATAAAATAACCTGGCAATTCTCATCTTGTGCTATTTGATTTATTTTACATAGTTCAAAATAAACCCATAAACATTTGCTGGTTTTACCATAAATGAGGTAATTTACCAGGTGTTAAGAATATGTAAAAGGGGTGAGACAGTAGTTTGCAGTCTACTGGGGAAGACAAAAATATACTTAACTGTGGTAGAGTCAAAGAGTAGGACCCTAAGAGGAGTATGAACTAAAAGATTTATGATCCCAGAGGAGGGAGAAATACTTATGTGTGGGGTGGTTGGACAAAATTTTATGAAGAAGGTGATCATCCTCTCTTTTCC